CTTGTTTCTTTCATCTCATGCAGCATCTTTGCTTGTGTCCCCTCCCCATCCTCCCCCACCTTCAGCGCTTCAAAGTTTGAAGACCTCTTTTCTTTATTGCACAACATTCACAACTCGCTCGGCAGGCTGAGCCTCCTCAGGGATGGAGCAGGAGTGGGGGGAGGGGTAGCAGATTGGGGCAGCAGAAAGCCAAGTCCACTCATGTATGTAATAGTTACATTGAAGTGACTGTACAGTGCCCATTGCCCCTGCCCCCTCCACCCCACCATAATATCAATTAATATTATGGCAGAAGACAGACGCACCAATGATCCGTAACAAGTGGCATCTCCGGAGAGAGCCAGTGCCAAGAGATGGCTTTAATTAGGCCTGAAAAATGGCAGGTTACTCCATCCCTGCACTCCCTGTTAATCTGTGCAACAGAGCCATGGAGTCAACCCTGGCCCAAACTGGCAAATGTTATTTCATCTTTGTTGAAGCTGTGAATAAGCCAATGGGTGTGACGACCAGTGGGTGGCCTAAGATTTTTAACAAAGCTTACAGAGAAGCAGACGTAGTTAGTACAGCCAACTGTTTGCTGCTACGGCTGCACATATAGTACACAACAGGAGCATTTTAATTAATTAGGAATCAGGGAGGTGGTAGAGCCCACATCTGACAGGTTACAAGTCCACCCAGTCTGTCTGCTAAAAGACAGCCAACACCTAGTTGTAATTCAAACAGTGTTTTCACATTCAAATGTCAACCTCTCTCCTGCCTTTGCTCTGTGTGCATTTTTGGCCATAAATTTCATCATGAAATTTCCATTTTGCTTGCCTTCATTATTCAGTCTGAAAGTGCAGACCCACTGGTACACCTTAGTGTTGCCTAAACAGAAGGCTGCGTTTGAACGGAACTGAATAGAAATTGGAATGAGTGAAAAATAAAACAAGAGAACAAACACTTACTGTCACATGTTTTGTGCTTTACTGTGTAATTAAAATCAAAACCATGAGTGAATTAGCACTGAAAAAACAAATCCAGCCCACTTACTGCATGTCTCTTTTCATTTATTAAATGTTGCAGTGTCTTGACTATTAGCATGGTAAAAGTAGCTCCTAGCTATAGCACCTCACTTTATGACAACACCTCGTGATGATCATAAGGACAGAATTTGAATGCACACGTCGTCTCGTTGGGTGGACAAGGACAGAGGCCTCCTTCAATAGTTCATCTCTTTACAGCTGAGTAGCCCCTAGCTACAGCTACTGAGGACCCCACAGCTCACTTACACTGAGTAAGCGATCTGTCTACTTCACCTGCATAATTACAGACTTACTGTACCTTTTCCTGCTGATAATGCCGTCATGGACTGTGCCTGTTATGTCTTGAGGGCCAGTTTGATTGTTATAGGGAACGACTCTGTTTCACTATCATTCCTAGCCTCTGTGCCATAATGTATGAGGTGCTAGTAGGGAGAAATATACAAATGATCAATTTAATTTAAAAGTCTGGGTGTATTGACGGATGGTAGATAATTGTTTGAGTTGTTCTAAATTTGTACAACAAGTATTTGGGGATAAATGGTAGGATCATTAAGCAAAAATAGACATTCGGTTCAGGCAGAATGCATCCTTCAATAATGATGGCAACTAATATAAGGCAATGTATTTCAGTAAATGCTCTGTTCCCTAAGGCTACAAGCTGAGAAGTTAAATCTAAACTTAGCCATACCTCAAATCACCATAAGGATTATTGAGTTTCAGGTAAAGAAACTTACATTATTATTTTGTGATTTGAACAAACCAAATAAGAGGTAAACATAAAATACCCCCAAAACAGGCTCTGTAACTTCACTGAGAAGAGACCCACACTGTGGTCAAGCATCGTGCACAGAGAAAATTTTTTAAAAATCAAGCATGAAATATAGGCTCTCATTTTTGTAAATAAAATCATATGCTATTTTTGTTCACTCTCCTGTGAGCATGCTGACAATCAACTCTAAAATATGAATGCAAAAAAAGAATAAAAATTTAAAAAGGCCTAATAGCCATTTTCAATACAATACATCATTCTGATCAATTGTACTTATTCAGGTCTACATGCCTATTTTACCCTTCACATCTGATTGTATTTTCCAAATACCAAGAGCAGATGAATCACTGCTACATACACACACAAGTCGTTTAGCAACAATGAGGCCAAATGCTAAACACAGGGAAAATGTGATGCATGATTACAACTGCTTCGCCCCCCTTTTCTTGGACCAAATCTTCAAGCCCTGCAATCTCCCTTCTTCTCCCTGATGCATTTTCTGCCCTGCTGCCCTCTGTGGTGATCATCTCATTACACAGGGCTTCAGAATGGAAAGACAAACTGCGCTAGGACATCGCTCCATCTCAGCATGAGATATCACATTAAGCCATGATATTATTGCGGATGAAGACCACAGGCAGAGTCAAGTGCTGTCATTAATTTAGTTCAATTTGACAGTATGGAATAAAAGTAACATCTCTAATGAATGGTAACACCTACTGTACAATATCTGATGTTAATTCTTAAGGATGTGTCTCATACTGATGATACCATCTCCCAGTAATGACCTCGAGTTGTGGAGTGGACATGTGGATGTCGTTTGCGGAACAAGAAAGGGTTTTAATGACACTAAGAATCAGCAGGCTGTCGGAGGTTTCTTCAGTTAAAAGGAGTTTTTCCTTCCCACTGTCACCAAGTGCTTGCTCAAAGGGGGTTTGTTGGGTTTTTCCTCTATAACAATAATAATAGTAAGGTCTAGACCTTACTTTGCAAAGTGTCCTGAGACAACTTTTGTTCTGATTTGGCGCTATACAATTAAAAGTGAATTGAACTGAATTGAATTGTCTTTATGAGTCAAACTTCAAGAGAGTTTGAAGAGAGAAAATAGAAGGGAAGCTGGAACAATTGCAGACACATTTCTGGGCCTTACCTGTCCCGGCATGGTGTTTTCACAGAGGAGAGTTTCATAGTCTATGGCAAAGACTGGGGCATTATCGTTTATATCCAGCACTGTGATGAGAGCAATGCCTTTCCCAATTTGGGTTGGATCCTCTGAAAGAGAAAGACAGTAGAGAGTCCCTAGTTATGTCCCAGCACTGAGCAAAACTTTCTTTTAAACACTGCACACTAAATTCTGCCTAACTTTACATGGATGTACTTGGCTTAATTATAGAATATTGATCTTCCTAATGTGCTTTAATTAATTACAAAGCAGATAAAAAAAGAGCTGCTGTAATGAAATATGCAGCCTTCTTCCAACAGCTGGCATCCTTACCCACTCTACTGTGGATCAGCCAAAGTGATTACAGTCGTTGCACGCTTGTTGATGGAAAAGGCTACGTGCGCGAATGAGCCATCTTGCAGAGTGGGCTTCACGCCTCTGTCTGCCTGACACATACTGATGGCTAAACGGCTACATCTGAGTGCAAGATGATGATTTAGCCTGGCGTCGCCACCGTGCTGGCCAGAGATGATGTGCTGACATTCAGGCCAGCTGATTTGATGACGATAAAAAGGACGCACTGTGCCTTGGGCCACAGACTTGTTGTCATTGGCGTGGTCTGGGCATAGCAGATGAAACATGAGTGACTGCAGCTCAAATGCACAGTATCCCTCAACCTCAGAGTCCCTGCACCCTCTTCAGTTGTAAAGAAGCCATTTACTATAAATACTGTCAGAACAGGGAAGTGGATTGTGTTGCCAGTCTGAGAACTCTGCTTCTCAGCTGAAAACAGTGCCTGAGTGTCACCAAGAGTCAGACACCAGTGCCTCATACTAGAGGGACTGACATTTCGTGTGACTATTATTATATGCAGCCTTCTTTTTGTTGCTATATCAGGCAGGGAATCAACCGGATAGGGCGTCTCTGTGTCATTAGATGTAAATAAAAACACATCTTTGAAGCAAAGAATGATAAAAAGATTCTTAAGAAAAAAAGACTTTTTCACACAGTGATCGGTCTGAGAATGTGAGAGCAGAAGAACTGCCAGGCTGACAGGCTGCTTGTCTTTTTTAACTTATACTGATGTGATGCAGCTGTCTACAGTGCTCAGCAGATCATGTGCCAGCATCTGGTCCCCACGGCTCAGGGGGACACGGAGGTCATGCAGTGCATAAATTAACATTCCCCAACAGCCCTACAACAATCCTAACAATTGTATTGTTCACAGCACAGAAGGCTATGGCACATAATGAAGTGGATAACAGCACAGAAAAATTCCATATACTTTCTCACAGCTACACTAACAAGCCAACAGACCACTTTCTCAATCTTAGCAGCAGACTCATAATTTATAATTTCTATCATTTTTAGTCATTTTCATCTACCTCTTTTGAAATGGAGGTAGACAAACTGGCTACCTGGCTATTGGCAGTTTCTAAGATGATGGAGTTCCAGTAGCTTGCTTCCTACCTAGCCTGTTAGATTGCCATCATGTTTATGTCTGCTTTCATGATAACAAAGGTCTGTAAAGCTTAATGAGACAGCCCTAGGGAAGGGACAAACAACCATATGAATCATACAGGTTAAGGGGTTAAGGATAATCACCTTTATTGGCCAAGTATGTTACACAAAGAATTTGTTTCCTGTACAGAACCAATGGCAGCCATCTGCGGCGCCACCTCAACCGATGGCTCTAACCATCGGGGGCGTTCAGTGTCTTGCCCAAGGACACTTCAACACGTGGACTGCTGGAACTGAGATTCAAACTTTCAACCTTCTGGTTGAGAGACGACTGCTCTACCCACCGCACCACTGTCACAACTTGTTGGAATGGCCAATTCTGACTTGTATAGTGGATTGGAGAGTGTTGGCTATAGGCAGACTTACGGCTCTCGATGGCGAAGATGGTGAGGTTATGTACTGAGTTGGCCTCTCGGTCCAGAGGCTTGGCTGTACTGATGACTCCACTTAGAGCATCCACATTGAAAAAGCGCTCCAAGTCTGTGTTTCTGTCAATAGAATACCTGGACACAAACACACCATCAATATACTTTCAAAAATTGCTTATGTATAATGGTATTGATTTGACATTTTAGTATTTTTTTCTACTTAAAGTAAAGGTTATGAGTGTTCTAACATCAAAACATGTAACATTTTGCTGTTAAGAGTTTTACTCGATTATCAGTGAAGCTTGTTCACACTTTAAAAACATGTAAGATTTTTATTTTATCATTTAATTTTTTTAAAATAATTGTCCAAAAAGTACAGATAATTGACACAAGTCCAAAGATTTTAATCCAAAGTGTTGGCAAGAGCTGGAATTTTGTAGTACAGTGAGACAACGACTTGTCCCTCGGCACACAACACTGATCAAACCCTTTCAATACACAGCAACTTGTATTTCTAGAGAAAATTACAACTTCAATTAGCCTACATCCAAAGGGTATTATTGCAATGTAATTTGACTCTTGTGGCTGCATTAGTTCCACAATAATTTTAATTTCAGCAGATGTAGTGAAATATATTGCAGGCACTGATAACAGCCACAGGAGCAAAAAGAGGCAATTTACAGCTACAATAGTGCAGTAATTTGATTTTCTGATAAAGATTACTAACAATCCTAACAGACCGAGCATGAATACCATACAATATTCATTCAATTAATGTAAAATAGGCGGGGATCTCGAGACTGACACTGCACAGACCGGGAGCACGAGGCCTTGTTTTGAGTTATAAATGCCACGGCACAAGTGTTGAGCCTTTACCCTCCTGCAGGA